AGATGGTATCATCGAAACAATTGAAGATTTAATTGAGTTTGTTTCTATAGATGTGATACTTCAAATTGAGGCAATAATGTCCACTGGTTTAAATATTAGCAATCATGTTTATTTGTTTATCAGCAATCATGTCCATTTGATCAAATGTCAGCTTTATCTTCATATATTTATCATGGTGACAATAAAGTTCCGAGCCTAATGCCCAAGTATTGATTTAATGGCGTTTCTTGTGATATTTTAGACTGAGACAATCTAGTACATCGATTTAGATGTCAGAAATCACGTCTTTTTGTCCAAATGTATCCAATAATGTCCATTTGTCCAAACATCTACTTTATCTTCAAATATTTATGATGATGGCAATAAATTTCTGAGCATAATGTCCAAGTATTGATTTAATGGCGTTTTTTAACATGTGATATTTTAGACTGAGACAATTTTATATACTGATTAAACATCAGCAATCACCTCTTTTTGTCCAAATATATCCAATAATGTCCATTTTTTCCAAACATCTACTTTATCTTCAAATATTTACCGTGATGGCAATATAGTTCTGAGCATAGTTTCCATGTATTGATATCATGAAGGATACTAGTGGCAACCACAACCAGCAGCTACCATGTCATCATATTGTTTCAGTATCACATTGCCGTACTCGTCGAAGTATAGCAATGAAATAGCTACGAGTCTGTCGGGTACACAGCATGGCAGCTTAACTGCCTGTGTCAAGCCAAGCTCGTGAGCTATGCTCTGCACTGTCGCGTGGTTTGTTGGACGTTGGTTTTGTCCTAAAGGAAAATGGCAATTTCCTTTGCACTGGTATGCATTGTACCCCTTTGGACTGATGATCCACGCCGCCCAGCCAATTTGCTCAAAGTCTATGTATAGGTCGTGCCTTGAGCAGGATTCGTTTTTGGTGTGATGAGAAATCATGCTCATGACATCTCCTCTTTTGGTTCGGGAAACGTCTGTAGGTGATTGAGAATCATTCGATTTCAGAGAGATGGGGTGTCCTGAAAATGAAGGGAAAAAATGCAAATTAATTTGATGAAATGAAAATAAATAAACAAGATATGTTATTGAATGTTTTGTTTTATAATCTCTGGTTGGGCACAGTTATTTTAAAACGTTTGGAAATGCTCGTGAAGAAAAAAAAATGGTTTTGCAGTTAAATTAAATTAATTAGCTAATATATCCATACATTTCGAACTATAATTAATTAGTTAATCAGTTAGTTAATTTAGGTTTTGTTTTAAAAATTAAAAATATTGAATGACATTATAGTTCGATCACTTATTGTATGGAAAATTGGCAAAGCAGCCAAGTTTGCTTCATAGGAGGAAAAAAAAAAGTGGCTTCATAGGAGAGAAAATGTTATTTTAAGAAAATTTTAATTGGAATAAAAAGAAATTTAATTTTTAATAATTAAAATTTTAGGTCACAAGATATTAAAAAAAAAAAACTAGATGAAAAATTTCCACAATAAATGTTGTACTACTCTCTTTCAAAGCAACTTTGCGCCATGTATATCTGACTAGTACCCCTAACAAGTAATTTATTCGACTGTTTCCACTATTAAATCGGATGTTTACCATTTCAAGCAATCCGTGGTCGACCTTTGCATGACTGATGAAATAATACACAAGAGTAAATAATTGAAATACCAAAGATTTGGTTTCTGTTGTTCGCTCAGTGTCAGTCAGCAGTGTATCCTCAATGCAATGAATGAACCCCGTACAGTGAATGCGTTTAAATACTAGTTGCATTTATTGAAATTTCAGAAGAGTATTCACTCGTGGTATAAATGGTTTGAAGAGATCTATGCCTTTCAACTAAAAGATCGCACTGTGAACTTTATGTAATTATTTTGCTGATAATATGGGAATTTTTTTTTTTTAATTTATAAAACAGTTGTATGTAAAAGAAATCGATCTAAACTAAAAAATGCGTTAGATCCTTTTCATGTTCATTACAGTGCCCCCCTCCCCCTCCCATGACGAATATGAGATGCCTCTTTTAATGAATAACTCTCCCCTCATGGATATGGTCCCCATTGAACACATTATATTCAATTTTGAAGCCTTATGCCATATGAAATGGTGTCATATAGCTTTGTTAAGCTGTGACAGGAATTAAAAACTTATTCACATAATACTAAGTATGTAACGTTATCGCGGATGATTTGATAAAAATACTTGATGAGATTTAAAAGAACATATCGATGATTTTAGAAGCTGGAAATTGCATTCTTTAAAACATATTTATGCATGAATAAAAATTAAAAAAAAAAAAAAAAATCTTGTTGCGAAATTAAACAAGAAAAAAAAAAAACTTTAAAGATGCTTTCTTTGCACAATGCATATTATTGAAAAGAAGCGAAATTTACAGGGAAGTTATATTCGTTACCTTAAAAAATAAAACTTTTGATTTCTGTCGTACATTTAGTTTGTTATTATAAAAACTGAAAAAGAAGCAGTTAAAATTAATTCTAGGAAAAATATGAAAAATGTTTATTCTAAACATATGTGGGTAGAATTTAAAATAGCTCTGATTCTCCAGCGTTACAGAAAATGTGACCAATTTTGGCTCATCTATTCATATAGAAAGATGTCTCCCATTTTGTATGACTTTATATTTCACAAAACAGTTTTAACACTGAACAAATTTTCCGATTTCTATTACTTGGCATTAACAAAATTCTATAAAACACAAGAATTTTAGAATGCATTTTCGATATTGTATGGAATGAGTTATTATTTTTTTTTATATTAGAATTAGACGCAATGGTCTGATGGATAGCACGTTGGGTTTATAAATTAAAGCAACTCGTTTTCGGAAAACAACAACTCCTGTGTCTATGCCTGGTATGGATACGTAATCCGTAAATTAGTAAGTTTTCCCACTGAAGTCGAGGTTTGGTTTGGTTTGGTTTGGTATTGGTATTTGGTTTCAATTTTTTTGCACACTTTAGTGCTTATTATACCGGGACCTACTGTTTAACGTGGATTCCTAGCCACTACTACTACTACACCACAGCACATCACTGTGCCTAGAGCTGAGTTGCCCCTTTACAGTTTGGGAAGGATGTGGGTGAGAAGTCTGATTGGGCTCTGTGACGCTCTACGGTCACATGAGACCGGGACCTACGGTTTAAAGTGGATACCGAACCACTACAAACATCCATGGCATCCGAACCACTACAAACATCCATCCGGGATTCGAACCCGAAACTTGTGGTACCTAGCGCCAGGGAGCTAGCCACTCGGTCATCAGGCCCCCTGATTCCTAACCACTAATAAACGTCCATGCCACCGCCAGAGTGGTATGTATTTTCGAACCTAAAGCCTGTAGTACCGACGGTCAGTGCGCTAGCCAATTGGCCATCAGGCCGCCCTGAAGTCGAAGAGCAATGTGCAAACCCATTGCAGATGCTGCTATAGAAGATACCCCACTATAAAAAGTTCCTCTTCAACGATGATAACGATAAAAATGAATGAATTTATTACATATTCATGGGCAAAGAAGAATTTACAAAATATCTGTCGTTCTAGTGGGATATAATTCATCTGAAAGTGCCCGGCATTCGAAACAAAGTCCTGGGTTTATGCCTGGTATGGATACGTAATCCATAATTTAGTAATTTTTTCTACGGAAGTCGAGGAACAGTGTGCAAACCCGTTGCAGATGCTGCAATAGAAGATACCCCTTCAAAATGTGGGTATACTATAAAAAGATCCTCTTACCCCAATAACGTTGAATTTGCTACATAGTCATTCTAGAGGGATATGATTCATTTTAAAATGTCCGGCATTCTAAACCAACAGCATTATTAGAATTTAGAGTAGCATTTCTAATGATTATTTTTATACTATATACAGTCTAGTATTTTATTACATAAGATTAACTTAGCCACGCTTATACAGTTCCGTTTTTTAAAACAGTGTCTACAACAAAGCCGCCAGCGGATGGAACCTTAGCCCTAATGTTCAACAGTAACGCATGTTGCCACTGAGCCACGAGTCGGGAAAATATTTATAAAAGTCATGGATCATACTAGATAATTCGTCGAGCAACATATGCACAAAAACTTGCCTGCATTAACTGAAGAAATAGATCCAGTAGTATTTCGGCTGTCATCTACGAAAAGGACAAGGAGAGGCTGGTGGTCACTGTGACTCCCTCTGGCGAATCGAACCAAACCCTTGGGCACAGGCTCGCCATCTAAGCTCCTCACACTGATGGTCAGTCCTGGAAGAAAGAAAACAGTATCCTCCAGTGATGAAAAAAATGTGACATGCTGCCTAACAGACAATGAAAATGTTAAATTTGAGGGGGGAAAAAAACCCTGGTTGGTTAAAGGAATGATCTAGAACACAATTTATTCATCCTCCTCTGTATCTAAAGCCAACCAACACTTTATCAATTAAAAACGGTCAAGACAGCAAATAAAATAACAATATTTAAATATAGCAAAACATAACGCAATTATAAAAGTGCACCAACACAATATGGAATAGAATAAATAATTATCTTGAAGACACTATATAATTGCTATAAGCTTTCTGCTGTTGTTTCTGATCCCAATTGGTCGACAGCAACATTTAGACAAAGTCCATGAGCCCATGTATTCTCATGGAAGTAAGGGAGCAGTTTCTGTTATGATGGAGCATTTGTAGATTGAAGTTTGACTTGATTCCGTGTCATTGAAGAAGGATGGCAGTGCCTTTCGGGGGGACTTTTAAGGGTAACTAACCCACATTTGCTTATAGTGTGAGAGAAATCAAGGAAAATTCTCACTAAGTAGTCCGGCTCACGAGGCAAGATGCTGAACATCACAGACGCCATACAGTTTCGTTTTTGAAACAGTGTCTACAACAAAGCAGCCAGTGGATTGAACATTAGCCCTAATGCTCAGCAGCAGAGCAGGTTGCCACTGAGCCACGAGTTGGATCATGGATCATACTAGATAGCCCAACCGGCATTAAATGTTACATCCCCGAACGAGGATGGGATTCGAACCCACGCGGCAGAGATTAGCAGTCTATCGCCTTAATCACTAGGCCACCTCGCCGCCCGCTATATGCTTAGTTGAACCAATAAGTAGCACGGATAGTATATAATAAAAATATCGGTATCAGCATTATTTAAAGAGAAAATGGTATACTTTTAACTCAATTCATTACGCATGTGCAGTACAAACTACATGAAAATATTTGTTAAATATTGTGTTGTGACTAATTCTCAATGTCCGGCAATGTGGGACGGACATCCCATGAGTAGTTTATTTACGGATGGAGAGGGAAGGGGCAGCTTCTGCTGTAGTGGAGCACCCGTAAGTAGAAGTCTGACTGGGCCCCGTGCCGCTGAAGGAGGGTGCCTTGAGGGATGTCGTATGGAAGAAAACTCGGAATACTCCCACTAGGTAAGCCAACTAACAAAGCAAGATGATGAAACATCACAAACGCCATCGACACTCCTCGTGTTTTGAAACAGTATCTACAACAATGTCTCCAGCGGATTGAACCTCAGCGGCGCTCGTTGCTACTGAGTCACGAGTCGGGTCTAAATATTGTGAGAAACATGATTAGAACAATAAATATGATGTATTAAAAGAAAAGTTTTGATAATTTTCTTCCAGGATTCAGAATTCCATGGATCTTAGAATTCTATGCAAATTCTCTGCTACGTTTGCCCACTTATCTATTATTGTTTTTCTCTCTTCTAAATTTCGTGCCATTCCGATTACTAGATCAATCAACACACCAACTCTAAATAGTTTTAATTTAATTATGGGCCCTAGATAAAATTAACTGACAGTTATTTAAAATATTAAAAGCACGAAAACCGTTTGAGCTTTACTATACCAATAATTCTTTATTTAGATAAAACCAATTCTTCGTTGCGTGACAAAGAATTCCCGGCAAATGTACAAAATAATAATAATAATAATAATAATAGTAATAACAGGAATAGATAAAATTCTGAACAAAACAAATGTCATAAAAGTCATATATGGAAGAAAGAAATCGCAGTAGAGAAATTTGTATATTGTACTGTATGATTCTTCCGATGCCATGAATAGTTACGTCGCATTGAAAACTATTTAATTATTATTTTTGAATAATACAGAATAGAGAAACCAATTTTGTTAGTTTAAGCTTTATTATGCAATAAATCATTATTTTAATACCCATTTTTATATTACAGTTGCTCCCGTTTATTGTCTCGTAAAGAAACTAATAAACAAAAAAACAAAAAAACATTTCATTAAGATATAGTTTGGTTTGGTTTGTCTCTCTACTGCCACTTCGTGCACACTTTGGGCTAATCAGACAAGAGCCTATAGTTTAACGTGGATTCCGAATCACTCACAAACATCCATGCCACCGCCAGAATTCGAACCTGGAGCACCACAATCAGAGTTCCAGTTAATTGGCCATCAAGGAGCTCATTAATATATAGAATATTGTACCAAATTCGAGGCTCGTTTCTTTCTTCTTGAGTGGATTTTCCCTAAAGTAAAAACTCTAGTTTAATTTTAAAAACATAGTTTAACTTGAACTGTAACTTGTAAAGCAAAACAAACATCATGAAAATCACGGAAATGGAATTGCAGAAGGACACATTGAAAACTGAATTGGCGAGATAAAAATATGTATGAAATCAGGGACTCAACACCAGCTATGAAAGCCTTTTAATAATATTAACTGAACTTTTGAAATAATATAGAGCTTTCTCATAGTTTTATATCTTCTCCTTCTTTAAATTACTTTGGCTACTAAATGTTACAAAGAAGGCCATGAAAAAATACTTAATTAGAATTCACTTGCATAAAAATCAATATGTTCATATATTTTTTAATGACATTCTGAAAAGTGCATTTACACTAAATTCTTAAAGCACGCAGAAAAGATAGATGGTAACTAGTAATTCCTTCTTCGTCATTGGAGCACAACTCCATGGTCGACCAAAGAATTTCGGCAAATGTACAAAATAATAATAATAATGGTGGCTGCCTACTACTACTATCTACACACACCACACCACATCACTGTGCCTTGAGCTGAGTTGCCCCTTGACAGTTTGGGAATAATGTGGGTGGGAAGTCTGATTGGGCTCTTTGACGCTCTACGGTCATATGAGACTGGGACCTACAGCTTAAAGAGGATTCTGAACCACTAAAAACATCCCTGGCATCGCTGGGATTCGAACCGGAAACCTGTGGTATCGAGAGCTCGAGGGGCGGGCTGCCTGCTAGCAGATTTTGAAACAGATGTTTTTGTTACGGGGTAGGGTTCTCAGTCATAAGCCTAACAGTCATATTAGACCGGGAACTACGATTTAAAGTGGATTCCAAACAGCTACAAACATCCATGGTACTGGCGGGACTCGATCCGAAACCTGTGGCTTCGAGCACCAATCTCTCGGCCATCAGTCCCATAGTTTTATATACACTCATGCCCATAAATTAAGGATAATGAAGTTCAGGCAAAGAAAGAGACAGAAGCAAAACAAATTTGACTTATTTGTAAAGTCTATTTATTAAACAAAAGGTAAAGAGCAAAAAAGATGCTATATGTTTGACATAATTAATAAAAATTGCGATTTTTACTCCCTGGAGCAAATTTCAAAAAAGAACCTATTTAAAAAACAGTATAACATGGTTAATATGGAGTATGTCTCCCGGACGATGCAATACAGGCCTTACAACGCCTAGGCATGCTGAGTATCAAATTATCAATCTGATCTTGGGGAATAATACACCACTCATCAAGCAATGCCCTCCGAAGTTCCGATTGACAGGTGGGAGGGGGTTGACGGGCTGCAATTCGTCGGCCAAGCATATCCCACACATGCTGTATTGGATTCAAGTCCGGTGAGTATGCTGGCCAATCCATACGGTGATATCCTAAAATTGAAGGCATTCGTCTACAATGTTTGCACGGTGAGGACGGGCGTTGTCATCCATAAACAGAAATTCAGCACCCATGGCGCCCCGAAACAAACGTACATGTTGTTCCAGAATGACATCCCGATAGATGTGGCCTGTCATCGTTACACTCTGAACATGCAGGTCAGTTCTGGAACCAAGAATAATTCCTCCCCAAACGAGCCATCCTGCCCCACCGTAACGGTGTCGTTCAATGGTGTTCTCTTGGTGGTAACGGGTACCTGGCGTTCTCCATATGAAAGTCCGGCGAGAATCAGACTACAAACTAAACCTGGACTCGTCGGAAAACATCACACCAGACCACTGTTGCGGTGTCCACAATGCATGCTCTCTACTCCAGGTTAATCGCAGGCGACAGTCAGTTGCGGTAAGTGGAACACATCTGACAGGCCTACGAGCATATAGACCAATGTGCCCTAAGCGTCTGTACACGGTCTGCCTTGAAACTGTCGTACCGGTAGCTGAAGAGAGCTGACGAGACAGGTCTGATGCTGTGCTCCGTCTGTTTCTTTTGACAGTAACTGCTAAATACCGGTTCTCATTCGGCGTTGTAACTCGGGGTCGACCTGTGCTGTAACATCTACTCACATTACCATCATCTTGGAATCGTTGCCAAAGCCTGGAGATGACACTCTGGGCGATTCCAAGTTCCTCGGATACTTCCAGCTGGGTACGTCCACATTCCAGTCGTCCGATAATTTTACCACGTAAAAAATCATCCAAATGCTTCCTTTGTGCCATAACTATGCGGTTATTGCACTGAAAGGCTTTAAAAAAATTTTTACTTCTTTGCCACCATTCCTTATATACCCCTCTCTTACACTCTCGTCATTGTGACGTACTATCCGCGCCATCTGGTGGTTTCCTGTAATTTGCATATTCTTCTTCAAAATGTGTGTGATAATTCTACAGGTGAAATTTTTATTTTAGAGTTCAATTTCTGTGTGATTCTGAATTATCCTTAATTTATGGACATGAGTGTAGTTTCGTATTTATCATATCTTTAAGATATAGCAGATCTATAGACAAATACTTCGCTAACTTGGCAATACTTTTAGTCTCGGGGCCTGATAGCAGAGTGGTTAGCTCTCTGGCACTCTGTACCACAGGTATCGGGTTTGAGTCCCGGAGGTGCCATGGGCGTTTGTAGTGGTTCGGTATCCAATTTAAGCTGCACGTCCCGGTCTCATATGACCGTAGAGCGTCACAGGGGCCAATCAGACTTGTTCTCACCCACATCATTTCCAAACTGTATAGGGGAAAACTCAGCTCTAGGCACAGTGGTGTAGTAGTAGTAGTAGTAGATACTTTAAGTCATAGTTTTTGTGCAATATACATTTGGCATATTTTTACAGAGCAAAAGCGTTTTTCACAGCATGTACTATAAATAATTACATAAATTACCAATCAACTAAAAATAAACAACTATTTAAATATTTAAAAGAAACTTTAGTTACTTCATTGGAAAGGGATAATGAAGAAGAAAAAAAAGAAGACTATTTTTATACCAAGGTTCACTTCGTTGTTTTTAATCCAGTCTGCCACAGCTTCTTTGACGGAAAAAATCTCCCATCCTGTCGAATGGACGCTCACTCTTCTCGTTTCCAGAAGCTTTTTTCTTCGTTTCTTTTTGGATTTTGTGGGTGGCAACACCTGGTACACCTTGAGCTAGTTGGAGAAAATATTATTAAAATAAAGAAAATATTTTAGGAATAATAATAAAAACCTTTTCATATTAGATTATCATTACTCAAATTAGTTATAATTATATTACAGTAAACTGCAATATTTGATATTTCAGACATAATAATAATTGGGCTGAAGTGACGAATTTGTGTCTCGTTCGGTTACCAAAGGGCTTTCCAATGGGTACCAGGTGCAGGTGGGACACATCAATCCCCACCCCTTTTTCTTAAGTGATTACTTCCAAGTAGATAGGTTTGGTTTGTCGCTCTACGATCATTTTGTGCACATATTGAGCTAATTAGACCGGGACCTACAGTTTAACGTGGATACCGAACCACCAACAAACACCCATATAACCTCCAGGATTCGAATCTGAAGCCTGTAGTACCAAAGACCAGAGCGCTAGCCAGCTGGCGATTAGGCCACTCCTTCCA